GTAACCTCTCATAATTTGAATTTGAGAAACCTTAAAATATTATATAAGATGTAATACATCAATTTTTTTGCAGTGAGTCACAAAAGTTTAATTATCCAATACATATCGTGAAAAAAACAAATTATCCAATACAATTCTAAAAGTAATTATGAAAAGGGAAAATAAACTCATAAATGGTATACAAAGTTAATAAGAAGTAGCTATCATATACTACAAAGTAATTATAAATTTCACCACGGCAGATACCTTTCCCATTCTGATCTCATCAAAACCACTTGCAAAACTGTCCGAAATTGTATACTTTCACTTCGATATCATAAATCAAGTTTGGAGCTCTTATTCAACGTCGGTTTCACATGGGGTTTTGCTTAATTAAACTTTCTACGTTTTTGCAATTTATACCCAAATACTTTTTTAATTTTTTTTTTTGTCCATGCTTATAAATCTCTGTGAATATTTTTGTTGTCGATAAATAAATTTTAGGAATAATTTGCTATAAATACAACAAAAATCCCAAATTCAGTGGTCTATATTTTGTCACATACTCTATTTTTTTTAACTTTTTAATTATTTTTTTTTGGTTATACACCAAAAAAACCCTAAATTTTATATTTAAAAAAAAGAGAGTAGCTATACACAATTTCATCTTTGTTTCTTTTACCTTCTACAAGATTTTGGGATGCAAATAATGTACGTTTAGTTAAAAGGGCCAGGAGTTTCAAAACTCAGACCTATAGAACTACAGGTATTAGTAGCTAGCTATAGCCCCAATTTATCTTCTTATTGCTTCGGTTTTTAGAGTTTTATGAATGAACATATTTGGGATGAAGCTCAATTCAAACATTCCTCATTTCATTCGTTATTTAAGTTTTACGTTATGTATATAGACCAAAAATTATTGTCTAAGTAAAACATTATTCTATAAGTTCTGCCATTTTTGTCTCCTTAATTAACTTCCACGGAAACAAAGTGGGCTTAGTTATCTCCATGGCCCAATTATATTTCTTCTTTGTGTCTTTGACAAAGGTCACGTGACCCGTTGACTCGTTTCTCCATGGCCCAATTATTGTCTCAGTTTCTTCCTTCTGCTTCACGAGTCCATGCTGATTCTTTTTCTTCCTCTTGCGCAGATTCTAATTACGAATGTTAGAGCATAATCAATGGTATTTGTTAAGTTGGGATGTTAAATAATTTTTTTATTATAAATTGTATTGTGTTTAAAATTAGAACCCCAACATAATTTATGTTGTTTTTTGTCCTCTAATAGTAGTTGCTTTGGAGGAGTTCTTAATATTAAAGAAAAATAATTATGTCTTTTTTTTTGGCAGCGGATTGTATTTCATTTCATCAAGTTGAACGTATTACATCAGGACACGATCTTACAGCTAGTTTAGCAAGAGCATCAGCCAAACTATTTCTGTCTCGCGGTACATAGTGGAAGTCAATGAAATCAAACTTAGGGATGAGGTTTGTAACGTCTTGGAGAACTCCTGCAATTTCTTTGTTAGTGTTTCTTGAGTTGATAGCCCCCATTAGCGTCCGTGAGTCAGAGTGTACTCTTAGCTTTTTGATTCCCCTTTCTAGTGCCCTGAAGAAGGCGAGACGAACCGCCAGCGCTTCGGCCATCAGTGAGGACACAACAAAAGACTTTGGTTGCGATCCTTGGTCAACAGTGATAGGGGTTGTTGTGTTGCAGTTTTCTGTTTGAAGAATCCAGCCTAGTCCTGCTAAAAGAGTNTNNTCCTTCCATGCTCCATCGGTAAAGCAGAGGATGGTGTCGAGCGGTGGCTTGGGAGGCAGTGCAGTTTTATTATGTGGTCCTCTTTCTGGTTTACCCTCTCGCTGTGTTACGTACCATTCCCGAGCGTCCGAGGTTGCCTTTGTAATGGTTTCTTGTTCCGTAAGTCTTNTGGTCTCAAAGATAAGTTTGTTTCTAGCAAANCATAGGGACCAACATACCCATGGGAAGAGAGGTCCGTCACAAATACCAACTGGGGGGAGGCACTCAAACTTTTTCCCATTTATAATTCCCGTTTTGAAATCCTGCATGAGCAGGGGATCAAAAGGAATCCTGAAAGGTGCAAGAGACCACACTTTCCTAGCATAAGGGCAGTGAAAAAAGAGATGTGCAATTGTTTCCGGATCTCTGCAGTGTACGCAATTTGTGTTGATATTGAGCCCTCTCTTATTGAGATTATCCCCCGTAGCTAGCGCATCTTGGGCACATCTCCACAGGAAGACTTGTAATTTAGGGGAGAAGAAACCGTTCCAGATTGCATTGGTCCATGCTTGTGTTGCTTGTTGCTGTATCTGATCTTGTGGTTGTGTATCGCTTTTTCCTGCGATGTGATAACCAGATTTTGCGGAATACACTCCTGATTTGTTAGGGATCCAAACCCAACGATCTTCAGCCCTTGTTTTGCTCGGTTTTATGCATTGGATTTGATGAGCTAGTTCTGGTAAAACTCCATTTATTTTCCCCATATTCAATTCCAGAGAGACACTATCCAGTAAATATGAGACTTTCATGTCAGCCTCTCCCTCCTTGACAGGTCCGAAAGGTTTGATCTGCTCCACCATGGAGATCCAGTGGTCATCCCAAACTTTTGTGCTCTCCTCGTTGCCAATGGATCTTGTAATGTTTGGTTTTAACAAGTCTCTCCCTAAAAGGATCTCTCTCCAACCGTGAGAGCAAGAGCTAGCAGGTTGGGCCTCGAGAAAAGGTTGGTCATGTGCATACTTGCCCAAGAGTACACGGCTTAGGAGAGATGAGGGTTTGGTGATCAACTTCTAGCTC